AGATTATGTCTAGAAAAACGAGTCGTCAATTATGTAAAATGTGCCTACTAGTAGTAGTAGTAGTAGTCGTCGTCGTCGTCGTCGTCGTCGTCGTCGTCGTGGTCGTCGTGTTGGTCGTTGTTTTCGTCTTCGTCTCCGTCTCCCCGGACTGAGCAGCAGTGGCTTGGGCCAGGGCTAGCCAGGTTTTGACGCCCCCGGCTTTCAAAAACAAGGGGCACCGACTGGATGCCTTGGGCTGAGCAAAGTTCCTGTGTCTGCAGGTGGCTGCATTTGCGAGCTTGGTGGTCCAACGCGGGCTTGTGAGCTTCAGACCGGAGGTGATGCAGGGTCCCCTGGCGCAGGCCAGCAGACACGGCCAAGTTAAAGGCGGTTGGGCCATGTAGGCCCCAGTGAGGAACATAGACGTCGGCAGGTCTGCGGGTGCTGAGGTGCCTAACCCCCTGTCCTGTTCGGATCGAGGCGGCACAGGCCGGGCTTCTCAACCTCAGGATGGAAGCCCGCTGCATGGGCCTTGGCTGCCAACACTTAATCCTGTCACCACCACATGGACAGCTTTGGGCGTGGTTGCAGAAGCTGTCAGCCAGTCTGCCTCAGCGATGGGGAGCTGCAGGCGGAGCCGGAGCAGGACCTGGAAGATCCGGAAGAGTGCCCGGGCGATGTCCAGTCCGAGAGCCGCACATGGCGCGGCGTGGAGCCAGGCACCCGCCTGGGGTTGTCGTTGAAGTTGCAGGTTGGCCCTGAAGGCCCCACGGCCGGAGCAGGGTCGACTACAGCCCCGTCAAGTGTCTGGGACAACTGCTGTTGTCGAGTAGAAGGCCGCGTCGGGACCGAGAGGTGGTCGGCGGGCAACACGAGCTCATGCCTACTCGCATGCCGCAGCGCCGGGCCCCCGCGGCAGCGGAAAGGCCTGCAACCATGCTTCACCGGACAGGGGGCCCGAAATTGTCCCAGCCAGGAGCTGCAGAGGGGTTACCCTGAGGGCAAAGACCATGCGGCTGTAGGCAGCGCAGTGGCGCAGGAGGAGAAGGCCAGTTTCAGGGTCCGGCAACCGGACAATGCCTCCAACAGCGGCTTGGCCTTGTTGATGCGCTTAACTGTATGCCTGGTCCCCGGTTCATAGCCCCTGTCTGGTTGATTTGCATGCCCGCAAGGAAGAGCTTGCACAGCTGTCGACCTCTTTCAGTGGGAGATTGACTGCTCGCAGAGGGAGGAAGCACGTTGCCGGCCGGGCTGTACGAGGTGGTGGAGGAACAACAAGCTTCGTTGCAAGATCAGCGCCTCCTTGTGGTATGGCTGCATGGACTGGGGGAAGCGACACCCATAACACCCAAACTTAACGGTGCACTCGACAAGTGCTGAAGCCTGCCGATACTGGGTGCCATCCCAGGAGATTCAGATGTTCTGCATCTGAGGCACTCTGCGCTTCCTCTTTGTGGCGGAATTGTGTGCTGTGCACGCGGCCGCAATGCTGCTTTATGCGCACTGATTGCTCACCACGGGGTTGTTGGTCTACACTTCCTCAAACGCATGTCAGAACGAATGTGGCAATGTTCACTGCAGATTCTCGCTCCCACATTTCCACAGCTGAATTCAGTAACCCCTGACCCCGCTGCATTCGCCGTAAGTGGAGCTGCTATTGGGACATGGACCCCAAGCATGTTGTGCACCTCGTCAACGAGGCAGCGCGTGTCAAGTGACCATCTCTGCACGTAGGACCCGAGTGCAAATGCGATTTACAGCCGATCACTCTCGAACTCGCCCTAGCGCTGCCGGTCGTGTGCAGCAGCACCGGTTTGGTTACCCTCGTCTACTACTAGTTGCATCCACGTTGTTGCAGTTGCTGTGCTAGTACTAGTTTACTAGTTCTGTAGACTGTAGACTGTAGCCTTGAGACCCAGTGCTAGTCCTTCTGTTCAGTTTTAGGGCTCGCATTTGTTCAAGAGGAGCTAGGTCTAGGCGGGAGTGGTGCTACTAGTTTCGCTAAGTTTATGGCGACGACGGCCAGCAACGATGTACATGCCCACGACAGAAGTAAACGGAGCAGAAGTAGTACCACAGTAGCAGTTTACTGGTACATACTGGTACGTTTTGCTCCAGGCTCCAAAAAACTGCTGAGGCCCGAGTGTTGAGAAAAACGCAAGCATCATGCAAGAAAGAAGTTCAGAAGCCAGGAGGTTGAGGCCACCAAGCCACGTCAAAAAGTGAGCTTCCTTCGGAATGTTAAAGCTTTAGCCCATGTGAGTGCAGATAAGAGCAACTGTATTTCTCAACACCCGGTCTCACCACCCCTTTGTCGACCTCGTCTACGCAATTCCTCTTAGGACCTCTCCGGTGACCTCCTTTCAAGTATCTGTCCCATACGGAATTACTGTTGAAGTACGATGAAACCAGCACCCTAGAGGTTTCTAGAGTTTCTGATCTGTCCTGATGCGCCAGGTTGAAGCCGCCCTGTGTCAGATCACAAGCGCTGTCATGCAGTCGCAGGCGCTCCCTTTTCATCATGCTTTGCTGTTGCGCCTCACCGAACGCCAGAAAAATGGTTGCGCAACGTCGCCTGTGCAGGTTGACGAAGCGATTGCAAACACGTGGAACCCTGAGGAACAATTAGCCGGCAGGCTGGCCGGAAACACAGCAGCGCTTCTCCAGGTCTGACAATGTCTTGCCATATTTCTCGGAGAGCGACGGCGCACATTTCAAGATTGCATCCTTGGATGAGCCAATACTTGAAAAAAGTGCTAGGAAAGCTAGAGGGCGAGGGAACATGTGGGTGGGAATATCTGCAGTTTTATAACATGTGCAAGCCACCAACCGAGAGGGCCCGAACAAATCGATACACTGAGTAAGGGGAGGGGATACCCCTGCCTCAGATATGCGACAACTAACTCAAAAGCCAAACAGCCCCCGAGTCAGCTTCAGACCCAGCAAGAGAATTTGTAAGCTACAACTACCGCAAGCTAAAAAGAGCTAGCTTTCATGATTCACTCACGCCTTCCTGCCAATTCCTGCGCAGAGCTGCATAAAGTGTGGTTCGGATTGCTTCTACGAATGCCGGTGCGGTGCCATCGCAAAAATGGTAAGCGCCACCTTGACCAGCCTTGCAAGCAGCTGTACGTCTGGCGGATCTTACACCATTGACAAGTAGAGTCTCCTGCGTTTTCTCAAATCTCTTCAATGGGGTGGCACGCTGCCTAACCGCCCCTGGCAAGGCCTCGCCGTCAAGCCGACGAACATCCACGAAGTTGGCGCTGCCAGCGTAGCTTAGCAACTCTGCACACTCCTGGCACTAACAGCTACCGGTCCTATGCTTTGCCTACCCGTCACCTGTCCTTTGGCAGCAACACTTTGCGCAGGCATACCGCTCCTGATTGGCAATGGCCAATCAATAAGGGCTACAAGACAAGCAACAAACACGCCTCTCCGTGTGAGGTCCGCAAATTTTGCTGCTGCAAATGCTTTCTGCAGTCTCGGCCGGACCTTCCGATTTGGATGTTTGACTTGGCATTAAGTGGCACGGAGCCATCTTGCATCTGAGCTTCGATCTTCAGAGCTGCTTTGACTGTTCTGGCAGGCCTCTCAGACTCAGAAAAGAAAGACTTGTTCAAAAGATTGCCAACAAAAGCGTATCCCGGGGACATGCTGCCCAGCAGCAGCTTCCTTTTGGATGGAGTCTTGAGTGGAAATGCGGGTGGCTCCGGCTTTCGCACATCTGGGTGATGGAACAGCTTGCCACCCGAGAGCAACAATCGCTCCTCGGCCAGAATGAGTTCACCAAAGGGATGTTGAAAGCTTGCAACTGTACGACACTGTACGAGTACTGATCGGTCCTTCAAGGCAGCTTTGCTACGCAGCGGCTCAACCGCTTCAGGCTGCCACTTATCCAAACCTCTGTTGTCCCAAGCAACTGCAAAGCCACATCTCCTTTCTGCGCATCACCGGCTCTGGCTTCGCTTCCTGAAACCGACCGGATGTCTCTTCCAAGGGTCCCGGCGAGGATCGCTGCGAGGCAAGGCAGCTCGACCCAAGGAGGGACGATAAGTGGCCACAAGGCCAACTTTGCACCGTGCCGCCCAGCACCGCACGGACTCGCCTGGCCTCAGCCAGACATCCACACCAGTGTGGCACGCCACGATATCACAAGGTCTGCTTGCTAAATCAAACTGACATTGAGCATTTAGATGTCAATGATCTGCTAATCACCGACCTTGGCCTCGCATCTTCCGCCTGGAGCAATGCCAGCTGCTCCTCCAAGCTGGTTCCATAGAACACATGCTGTATCAGCTGATGCTGCAGCGGCTTCAGAAGTATCCTTCGCATCCCAGAAGCCTCCATCAGAACTTACAACACGGTGCCAGCCACGAACCCTCTCATCAACCATAGCGACCAGCTTGCTACCCAGTTGAGTTCGAACACCTGCACACCAGTGTGGCTTACTTCTGTCAATTCAGGTTGGCTGCTGCGTACAACTGCCTGTGTCAATACCCTCATCTGCGCGGCCAAGTGCTTGTAGGACTTGGCGGAAAACCTTCAATCTCTGTACCCCATGGAGAACCCATTGAATCGAGAATGGAAGCAGCGCAGCAGTTTCTGAGTTTCTGACCTCCATCTTTGTCCGCGTCTGCCCCATTGGTATCTTTTCCAGGACGGACATCAGGACCACTGTCGATGGATCGTTTTTCCTGTCAAGCTTGAAACATCTTGAGACTGTCGTCTGCAGGCACGAGAAGGTCATACAAAACACAGTCCAAGCATCCGGCATCTTGTATGCGGGCCGCTTCATGGCTCAGATACGCTCCAGTCTGATTACCCAAGACTTGAGCCAAACTGAGACTTGGTTGGGGGTGGGGCTGACCACATCACTCTGCTGCAACAAGAAAATGCCTCAGTGGGCAGCGTACGACTTGAAGCAAGCCCATGCCCTGCACGTCCAGGCACAGCGGTCGCTAACACTTGGCATGATCCATTCTGGGCCTCCTCCGTGTTGGGTCGTCCTTCAGCTCGCAGCACAGGATACGATGAGAACCCCGGGAAGCTTCTTGCGCCTGCAGTTTCAAGAACAAAGCTCTTCATGCTGACGCAGAAGGCAGAAGCCAAGCGCTCCACACGGCAAGTTTCGCTGCAAAAGACAGCTTTGCAGCCTGGCACTGCGAGAGCCGTCATCAGCTTCGCAACATACTGAAGTTGTGCCTTCTGTCAGGCAAGGCCAGGGTGGTACACCAGAAAGGTCTGGATGATCTCGCGCTCTTTGGACAAAGCGGGACAAGTGGCTTCACACTCTCCGCAAGGCCTAAAAGCTCATGAGGTGCATCGAATGACCTGCCACATCAGCAGCTTCCATCTCTCAATTGGGTCGAGGATGAGGCAGTGGCTCTAGTGTCACGTGGGCATTCTGCAAGATCCTTAGCTGCAGGCAAATAGATCAGGCACCACGCAGCATATTTGCAGCTTTTGCCCTCCTTCTTAATTTCTAACCTACCCACTTCTTGCAAGAAGGATTTGACATGAGTGGCTTCCAAAAGTTTCCCGTTGCAGGCATTCAGAGGGGCCTCTCTGCTTAGTAGACCAAAACCAACCCACCGTTTACAGAATATACTGCAATATACTGTACTATGCTAAAATATACTATAATAGTGTATTCTACTAGATCATATTATAGCATACTGTAATATGCTATGTTATTAGGTTTTCCTTTCCGCTGTTTCTGCACAGTTCCACGCATCCAGCAATCGGTGCCACCAAACCCGAGCCCGGGGTTTCTCCATGCGCCTGGTCTGGCCTGTACTCGATGCTTTTCCCTTTATACCCACCCATTGGGGTATATAATATGAGGGCATATATTGGGGATATATTGGGATAATGGAAAATAAGCTGGAAACTACTATATTACATGCTTACATAAGCGTTAAAATGACTCTTTCAAGCTTTTGGTTGGCCAAATGGAAGCTGGGCTCAGAGCCTCAAAGCCCAACCAGGGCAGGGCCATGGGCCAAAAAAACCCTCCCTTGCACCCCAAAAAGAGGGGAGCGGCTTGAATATAGTAGTTTCCATTTTATTTTCCATCATCCCACTATGTCCCCCATATAACCCTAATATTACCCCAATGGGTACAAAGGGAAAAGCATCGAGTCATTGTGCAGTTCTGCAGCCGGACTGAGGTAGTTGGCACGCAGCATCTATAATCAGTTACCATGCTTTTCCAAGAATCTAGGCTGCCATGTTATACGGACATCCCAGGAATTGCTAAGAGTGCTAGGACTTGCCAGGTATGCGACTCGCTGCGTCTGAGAAACCGCTGAAGTACTTCTCGAAAACTGCCCACTGGGACCATGCACCTGCCGTGGACTCTGGAAGGATACCATGTCAGGCAGGAGAAGGGCACCAGGACCCTGGTCGCAGCATTGAGGGATGAACCCAGCACAGCAGTAGATCATGCGCTGCGAGAAGATGTGCTGCAGCGCTACCTGTAAGTCTCACTTGTTTGCCGGCATCTGTTGCAGACGCAAGGCGGGGCAGTCTCATGGACCTAGACATTCAGATTGGGAGCAATTCCTGCTGCACTGGCAGCGAGATAACTTAGCTTGGTGCCAGCGGCCGATCTTTGAAGACTTCCTCTCCAGCGGCCTGAGGAGCAACAGTGCGCCCTGCATCGGTCAAAAAAACAGATAAGGCAGTGCAGTGGTTTTCCAAGCCGTGCGCAAACCGTCGTGTGGAGAGAAGCCCTCGACCACGGCGAGAACTTTGCCAGATCTAGAAAATGGCAAGCTCAGCGCAGTACTAAAGAGGGCAACATGTTTGAAAGGCGAGCCTGTACAGCAGGATCATCCAAGAGCAGTTGCCTGGAAGAAAAACTCGGTAGCTATGAGGCACGCACAGAAACAAAAGACGGTCTTACACCCTTTGTAGCTGGTCAACCAAGCACCGGATGACAGGAGCTCTTGAGTCCAAAGCTGAAGAATCGGCCCCTGTTCCGGGCAACTAGGATGCCATGGCGCTAGTGCTTCACCCAACATGCATGAAGTTGCGATTGCCTTTCCACCCGCTTCTTCTCCCAATGCTGTGCTGAGAAAGTGTTGCCGTCGAGTTGTGCCAACACTGCCAGCATCCAAAACAATCAGCTTTCCGCGCTGAGGGGGAGTTTTCTTTGCAATTTGAGCAGGACTGACGGTTTTCTTTGCCTGGAACCAAAATGCTACCTGCCCACTCTGGCAATCCCACGCCTTGAAAACCCAGGAACGTGCGTACCCGACAAGGAGGTGTCTCTTTGCCTTGCTGTTTTTACAGATGTCTCCCTCTCCGTCCTTCACCTTTTTAGATCAAATAGGTCCAGACTGGCCGCAGTCGAATCTGACCAATATTGCCAGCATGCCCGAACTTGAAGTGTGTGTGCTATTGTGGATGTCACAGCATTACTACTGCCATGTGAAAGCATAGCGTAGGCATACCATGACGGGGAGTTCGTTTCAGCACCACACAGAACGTACTAGTAAACTATTCGTGTAAGAAACGGCTCCACATTGAATGCCTCTGGCACTTCTTGTGTGAGCTGCATCTACAAAGAGGCGCATTGAGAGCGCCTAATCGCCTCGCAGGCGCGTTAATCAACTCAGTCTTGAGAAGCCGCCTTCAGCGGCTCTCGACCGTGCCTATCTTCCAAGAGCGTGCATGTACCCGACTTTCAAAGTCTGCAGTTTCTGCGCGACTTCTTTACACGAAGGCCATCTGCACAAACAAGCCAGAACAATCAACTTCGTTCTCTCTGAGACTGAATGATTGTAGTTGGCTCGGCTATTTCGCCGGACAGATGGTCGGCCAAAGCTCAGGATCGCGCCTGGGGTGCAGTGAGAGCTGTTATCACTGAAGCTGCCCATGCAGCGCCAGGCAGTGCAGAACCGAAATGACACACGCTTCCTTTTGCATCTGGACTTCAACTACGTCCTTTGAAGCTACAAAGTACTGTTGTGTCCTGATTAGTGTGGGGCTCAATTGTGCGAAGTTTCGCCGAAATTATTCTTACCCCCCTGGTTCGTTTTGGGTGGCCTTAATTGTGCGAAGTTGCACGGCCAAATAAAATAAATCCAATCCCGCCTATTGAATTTCAATTAAAACCTAGGATCCAAGACCGCCTAAACCTAGGATCCAGATTTGTTTGGGGGGCCCCCCTGTCCCGCTGTATTAAAAGGGTCCCGCTCTTCGCTTGGGGGGAGGGGGGGCCCCCCCCTACACTAATCAGGACCCCACATTACTGAAGAGTACACTGTCTGGTACAAAGTTTGTACTACAAACCTCTCAAGCCCATGATCACGAATTGCAAAACTGTTCATCAGTCAGCAGCAAAATAGAAGGGCAACAGATCCATACAGATCCCAAAGTCCCGGCATTCCTCGGACACTCCATACTGCGGGAATCAACCGATCCATGATCTAACAGCCGCCCACAGGCCTGACTGTCCACTTCTTCATGGGCAACCTCAGAGTTGCCAGAAACACAGAAATGGCTCAACGGGCTAAAGCCAAACACAATGATAAGGCTGGTGCTTTTCGATTGGGGGCCGCTGCCTGTAAGCCTGCTGGGATGTTGCCTTTTCGGGGCTGCTGATTTTATTCAATTTCACAACAAGACCTGCTTAAAGAGCCGACCAAGATTCTGGCCAGGAGCAATCGAGGGGTGGTGGCGGGAATGTCGTGGCCGTTGTCCTGCAGAGAACCTACACCACCTCACACGATCAGACATGATCTGACGGAAGAAGCTCTTTCGCGGCCGTCTGCAATCCCGAGACGCTGCCACCACCAGTCCTTGGCATCGAAAGGAGGCCGGACTGACTGTGAAATGCGCTAGTCCTATATAACCTTTCTATAATATGGTAGTTCCCATTTTGTTTTCCATTATCCGAATATAATCCAATCTGATCCTAACATCTGTCAACGCACGAGCAGCTTCAGGCTGGGGCTTATCTTGCAGCTGCGGCAGCACCTCACACCAAGGTAGGCTGAAAGCAGGAAAAGACTGGCAGGCAATCAACTGTTGCAACTGCCAATTGCGACACGCTCAAACCTTGACCTTTCCGACGTTTCTGCCGCTTTGTACTCAAAGCGTTGCCAAAACAAGAAAGACTCATTGCCCAGCCAACCCCCACAACCTGCGAACAAAAAAAAACATCTCAATCGCTACATCACTTGGAGTGATCGCCAAGTTATCCAAGTTGGAAGTAAAACCTTGCCAAGCTTCCGTCTTCTCCTGCACGTCCACACTGCAATGCTAATGCCATCAGGTTTCCATGCCTTTGTGATCCTTGCTCAGCTGTGAGCCTTCTGACGCTTTGCGTCCGCCTCTGCATTCTGCTCCTTTAGAAATCCCCAGCTCTCCTGGTCAGGACGGAAATAGGGAAAACAAAGAACACCTGATGACAGTCCTCCCATTGGGCAGCCAGGCGGAGTTCCGTGTCAACAGCCTGCCTCCAGACCTGGCGCGAGATGCGGTTTGATGGCTACAAAATTGGCCACAGCAACATACACACAAAGGAACCGCGAACAACAAATCTCTGAGCATGCCACAATCATCTCGGCATTACCCTCCAACGGCATGGCGGACAACTGACGGACCTGGCACTATATGTATCGAGGCATTCGTTTCCCAGCCGTGGCGTGTGCTAGGCTGAGGACAGGGCCACTACTGGCAGAAAGAAATGTTGTGCTCGAGCCAGCACGTCTGCATCATAAAGGGATGGGGGGTGGGGGAATCATAGCTGCAGGAACAGCGCAGCTTGACAACACATAGTGGTGGGGGCCTGTACTGCTGCACTACTACCTGACTACCTGCAAACAAGCTTTGCGCTCTTTCTCTCATGTCTCACCAAATCACGGCATGACTTCCACGTGGATGGCTTGCATCTAGCAACAGCTCGAACATGCGTCGAGAAAGGCCTGGCGCGAGTTTTCCTTTGGAGTCTTCCAGCATCTTCCAGCCTTTGCAGGCCGAATGCATCGCAGACCTTCGCCTAGTATGTTGGAAGCTGAGGAGGTAGAGTACACCTCGGATCTGCCAGTGCCTGTGAACTCTGGGATCGTTGTCTCCACTGCTGCGATCGCGGATACACGCCCCAACATCACAGGAAGCTCGAAGTTCGAGTTTTCGGCGGAATCATCTTTGACGGCAGGATTGCTGCACAAAGCACCCCTGCTTCGCCCAAGTTGTGGTGTTGCTGCTTCGAGAATTGCAGATTGTAATTCTGATCCTCGGCACTGCTCCAGGAATGGCGCTCAGGATTTCCCCACACAAGATTATAATCACCGGGCCGGAAGGCCTTGCCAGCAGGCTTGCCAGGATACGGTCGCAAACCCAAAAACCGATTGATGTCGCTCATGCGAATACGCTTCTGAGTAGATAGCCAGCTGTCATTTGCATAAAGTGCCGCGGTATTGGCTTGGAAACCCCAAGTGCGGGATGGCGTCGCTGGATATTTGGCAAATGCTCGGTCAAAGCTATCCCTGTCTTTCTTGCTACCTCCAAGCAGTAAGTTGGCCAGCGTGCCTCCTCCCCCTGCCTTGCTGAGGCCGCCTCCCATCGGCACGCGGAACTACTAGCAAGCTGATCAAGACCCTAGCAAACCCCAGCGACAGCATGTCACATGTTGGCTCCTTGCATGCTCGGTCTGACAGGTTTGGCTGGCTCAACAAAGAATCTCAAACCTCCAGCTGAGAGTGCTGAAGCACATGCAACCGCAAGTTGCTCCTGAAATGATTGTGCTGTTTTCTAGCAGGCTAGCTGCGAACAAGAGCAGGAGGCTGACAAGATATGACAAAATAATAGCAAGCACAATGCGTAAATTAGCTTTCGCACTCGCACCATCAAGGCATTTCTGACGTGCAGCAGCGTCTGGCATCGGCATTGCCTGCGTGAGGCCGCTTCAACGTGCTGTACATGCCATGTGCGGACGTGTCATTTCAGCCTTGAACAGTGCAGGCACACCTAATGCGGACCGTAAATTCCATCCCACTCCGGCCAATTGTGCCAGTTGCGGTCGAACCAACCACAGCGCGGACAATGGTTGGCATTGCGACGGTTGACAGTGTCACGGTTGTGAGTGGCCAGGTTGTTACAGTTTTCATTCATGATCGGCCCAGCCCTGCAGCGACGACACATGCGGGCGCTGCCGCGTCCCACCATTTGGGTGACAGCTCTGCGTGCAAGCTCATCAAGTTCCGCTGCCCTTCGTCGGCGCTCCTCTGCCTGCATTTCTTGCAGCCGACGCCGTTCCTCCTCCTGTTGTCGAAGACTTTCTCGTTCCTGCTCGCGCTGCATTTGCATCTCACGAGCCCGATGCATTTGCTCTTTTCGCACTTCAAACTCCTCCCGCACCAACAGTGCCTCTCGTCGCCGTTCCAACAGAAGGCTTTGCTCCCGCCGTCGCATTCTCTCAGTTGGCCACTGCATGGGAACATCTAAGGAGAGCGGCAACGGCCAGTCGGATCGACGGAAAGCGTGAGCATCGTTGACCAGCTCGTGCGACTCGTCAACACACCCAGGCAGAGTGGCCTGACGAGTGGCTTGACGAGTGGCCTCAGTGGCCTGGCTGCAGCTCATTCCAAGTGCCATTTGGGTCTCAAGCGCTTCTATGCTATCCTGCAGAGTCGACACACGTTGCACATGCTGAATAGCAGCAGCCGGGCTCAGGCCTTGGATATCCTGACGAACCAGTTGCTCCCATTGCTCTCTCATGGCTACCACGTCAAGGCGGGCGACCTGCTGACTGCGGGGCTCGTTACCTGCATGTACAGCCTCCCTTGCACTGCCAGCCAATTGGCGCAGCTCTGCTTCAAGCCGGGATACTTCCTGCACATGCTGTATGGCCTCCTCTTCAGAGAGCCGAGTGGTATCCGCTCGGCTCAACTCCTGCAATCTACGGCCCAAGTGCGTTGCCTGCTCTGTCTCTGGCAAGGCTTCGTTGTTCGCCTGCATCTGCCTGCCTTCAGAACCCAGTCGAAGCTCGAATTCTCTTGAAAGCTCCTTTCTGACCACTTCTCGGTGGTGCACCGCCTGGCGCTTTGTCCACTGCTCCAACCGTGCGTCCAGCACCATGACCTGCTGCAACTCGCTGGAGGTAAGCTCTCGCCTCTCGAGTCTGTCCAACATGTCTTCCAGGCATTCACCACAAACTCGCGCAGCGTGACCCATCAAATCGGGGTCTGTTTCATGGCCCAGCTGCTCAAAATCATATGCAGCGTGCGCCGCACAGCTGCCACAAACCAAGCGACCACAACGACGGCAGTGGTGTCGGCGGCGGCCGAAAGCCCCGAAAGCAACAAAAGCAGCAGAGCAGGCCGGTACCATGCAATGCGTGAACATGAAATTGGGCACCCACTGGTCAAGGCTCACAAAATCGCAGGCTAGGCCCGTCTTTGCAAGCTGAATTCGTGCTTCCATGCCCCATCGAGGTCTGTCCGCATTAGAGACAAGCCGAACGTGGTCTGCGGAGCCTTAAGGTCAAGCCGTGTCGACCCTTGTTGGTAGTGTTCCCTTTTCAGTCAAGATGCGTTGGTACAGAGGAGGGGCTGTCGCTTGGAGAAGCTGCAAAGGCCGGGCAACCTCCGCATGGCCACATGTTCACACATGTTCAACAGTGTCAACCTCTTATGAGATGCAGGCCTCAGAGGTGGCTTGTCGATACCGGGCCTCCACAGCTGTCCGCCTGCAAGCAGTACTCTTGCAACATTGAACGGTTGAGCAGAACAAATCTGTCTCCGCCTCAGCTCCCAATCTTGTCGGACTTCTGGTGGAGCATGGCCTCCTTCAACTGTGCCGCGTATCAAGTCCAACACAGCTCCTCAGACAAAGCTCTGGATTGGGCTGTGCAAATCTCAGGTGCGAGCTGCAAAACATGGAAAAATGAAGAGAGCCTTGCACATCCAGCCTAGCATCGATTGCTCATGAGAACGCCATCCACCTCATTTCCTGTCATTGGACTGGTGCGGCCGCGCCGTTCTGGTCGAGCTCCACAATCTGCAGGGTCACTTTGCGGCAGCTCGTCTCCTCCTTTGAACACAACTTTCAGGGCATCTCAAATGACCAAGATTCACTACCCAGTACGCTTGTTGGTTTCCCAAAGGTGCCTTGTAATTGGTTCCGCCAATGCTGTTCAATGCTTTCACGCTCATATGTGTACCCATCACTTGCCAATACTGGATCTGCCATCAGCTCGCGGGAGATGGGGCACAGCAAGGAGGGCATTAGCCAGGGCTTCAAACAGGACGCAATAGAGCTGCCAGTACCTGGTTTCAACAAGGAAAAATGCCAAGAAGCGCTCAGACTTATGCAAAGCAACAAACCAGTTGTGCCGTGTGACCTGGCAACTTGAATGGAAGAATCGTCAGCCCAGTGAGGTCAGCGGGAAGCATTGCACCTACTTCGCAGATTGGAAGTAGCTCCTCTGCAGGGCGCAACATTCCAGAGCCACAGCGGTAAGCACGGTCGTCAAAGGAAACAGCGGGTCCTCCATGCGAGCAGCCAGTTGGTTCAAGTTTTCAAAGCGAGCCACTCCACCCCCCCTGGTGTGGCACAGGACGTGCGGACGCGGATCAAACAAATAGCCAATGCAGGGATGGCCGCCCGCCAAGATGATAAGGATGCTGTCCTGGCTTCAAGTTAAGGATACGCAAGAGACTGCCCAAAAACTTTCTAAACTGAAACCTGCTAGGACCAGCACTGTATATACTGTACACCTTAAGACCTTCAAAGCGTAGACGCTTCGTGATCTTAGCTTTGAAAGCTGCAACTGTTCAACAATAACTTAAGGCTCTCGTGAACAATGACACAGATTGACCGTTCCAACTTCCGACACAGGGTTCTGCAAGTAGCCAAAATATTCATAGACACTTTGGCCGGGCTCCAGCGATCTCGCAATGACTGCAGCAACAGGTTCTACTGCAAGACATAGAAGTTCAAGAAGCGCTTGGCGAACCTATGGCAATATGCTAAGGCAAGCGCCTTAGCATATTACATCCCACAATGCTCGCAGACAAATGCGAACTCAATGCTGTCATGCTGAACAGTTGCTTGCGTCACCGTGCCGTGGATGGGCTCCAGCTGTTCAAGTGAGCTGCGAGCGACGCACCGTACCAGTTCCAAAATCGATGAAGGAACTTCCTTCTGATCCTGTGGCCATCATGGCTGTGGGCAGTCAGTACTACTGCCGCATACCATAGCATGCAAAGGCCTGGAGGGTCTTGATGGCATCAGCAACACAATCGTCAATCCCATCTGCAAGATCATGTCGGAATTCCCGATGTTGCTGGTAGTCTATCAGCATAGCCTCAGCCACCTGCCCGTGACAAGGAAAATCAAATATGTCTGAGCATGCTTCATTCTCTGCTTGCTCCATCGCCTTCAAGCAGACCGCGGTGCAGGCAGGCATGCCTGCATGGAACACAAAGACAGCGCACGGCTCACGAGCTTCAAGGCTTGCTGCGCAAAGCTACAACGCAGAAGAAGCCAGCAAGAAGTATGCACAATCGATACCTTCTTGAGCATCCGCAACATACGACTGACTGCAGCCATCATCCACGTCGGGACGGCCATTCATCCGCCTACTGGCCTCTACCCATCATGCCACTCTTTGTTGGCTGGGCTTGAACCTGTTGAACAAATACAAAATGGGCCAGGACGGCATGAACCCTCAACCCCTACACACACACAGAGGCACTAGGCATGGGCGGCTCATTTTGGCTGCAAATGTATTGTCACAGGTAGCGGTACCTGAAATAAGCAAAAGCAAGCAAGTCACAGCTATAGGTCAAGCCTCTACTGTTTAGGGTTTAAGGGTTCGCCGTATGCGTCTGACAATAGCCCTGCCTACCCCGACGCAAAGGACCCAAAGCACAAAGAAGAAGGTGGAATCCCCTCATTGAATACGCGAAATGTGTTCCTCTTGGTGTGGGGATCTGGAAGCTTTTGTCTTGAGCAACAGTGTAGGGAGGCCTGGTCAGCTAGGATTTTGATTTGAGACCGTAAAAAGTGATATGATACCAAGCTGACCTGCAGACATTCCGCCCCTGTGCTATCCTCTTGGAACCTTATATGAGGTTGCAGCGCAATCACACAAATATTGCCTGCCTCTTAGCTGCAGGTATGAAAAAAGCGAGAATCATCGGGATGCAGGGTTAGGAGGGATGTCTCCGAGAAAGGAATTAGGGACTTAGCGGCACTCGTTCACTGAGGCTGTGAATAATGCTTCAGATTCGATAAGTGGGCCAAGTCTCTACGGTGCCTCGCGTGCACGCCCCGACACGAACTTCCGGGGATATGTATAAACATGCGGTAGAGAACTTACAACTTTGAGCTCGACCCTCAAGCTACTCATATCCTAGAAGCTGGGTCTCAGACTTGGCATCATCCGGTGTGGGACTGTGCTCTGAAACTCCAAGGGCTCAGACACCCCATTGCGTCGCAAAACAGGAATCCTTGCTTTCCCACATTTACATGGCACATCGTGGCACCTTTCGTGAACAGTCCCTGTAGAAAGTGCCAAGGACTTGCCCAAGTAGGTGCAGACGTGCCGTCTGGTGATGTGTGTTGTTGGTGAGTAGTCGAAACAGGCTGTCTTCTGAAACCATCCCTTCTCAGGTGCCAATGCTCAAAGCTGAGCCAGTTTCCGAGGCCAGTCTGAAATACAGGCATGTGCAAATCCGCGCCCGATTTTCCTGACACCTCTTTCAGCCTCAGGTCAGCCTCAAGTAACAACACGGCGTCTGTGAAACGAAGCTTCATGGGATTGTAAGTGCTCTGTACAGGGATCCTTGGAAGTCACCACAGTGAAAGCTCAGTGCAGCGGCACAGACCCTGAAAAGCGTTTACGCGTGGCATGCTGCATGTGCAGTGTCCCAAACAAAAGTAAATGGAATGCTTGGGGAACTCATGGCGAAAACATGTTTGTGTTAGATTGATACAAACAAGCACGTGCGACAACGCCTTTTTTTATCCTGCATGGGTCAATTCCTGAATCTACTGCAGGTCTTTGGGTGAATCCGTCACACACAGCGCGTGATGAACGCACCATGCACCGTTGCCGCACAGAGATGCCCGGCAAACCCAGGCTGCAGCTGGGAGCCATGTGTTCTGGCCTGTCAGCCGTCTTTGGCAACCTCCGCGGCGCGCTCTAGCAACTAAAAGTAACTAAAATGTGCCTACAATCACCTTCATGCCTCGCCCTTGACGCACACGTAGATGTAATGCACACTGTCCTGCCCACTCACGGCATCAACGCCGTCAGCGGCATCAGGAATACAAGTGCAAACTGAGGCGGCTTTCTCCTTGTCATCTGCAGACAAGGATGCGGTCATGCCCATCATCGGCTTTTGCACTGTGTATGTTTTAACCTCAAAGCAGGCAGGGCTCCAAGCAGGTTGGGCCTTTCCTGATTTCAAAATAAAGCCCTCTCCTGATTTCAGTTCCACGCATTCTGCCATGGCTTGGTTCTGAATCCTTCATCATCCTTCGTTTGCATAGCTGTGCTCAGGTCGAGCTCCTCTCACCAACTGCCCAATGGCCAGTCAAACCTTTGGTGTTGCCCTTTGTTCTTGCTCTCTTCCTTCCGGAAGTGCAATCTGCGAAATTGCTTCTTCAGGGTGGGGGACAGGCGGTAAATATATGCCTTTTCCTCTTCCTTCTGCTCAGTGCATGTGCACATCCCCGCGGTGGGATATGCGGGATTTTGCAGGGCCCTGCAGGGTTTGGCACCATGATTCAGGTCGTGCAATTGGGAGCTGCAACGGGTTCGACTGGTAGGGCCTTGTGGATTGCAAGGGCTCACAGGATGCTCAGGGGAAGTTCTGATTACAATTCTGAGCCGGCAGACACGCTACAGCAGGGACTGGCAAAGCCATGTTCTACAGCCTTTACTCAAGGTCCGGACATTCCATCCAAATTCTGGTCTTTGCAGATATGTCAATCGGTAGGACGGCTGTCCATGGGATACGCAGACGTACACACCATTGGGCTGCAAGACCTCAGCAACTCCACAGCAAATCTGCGGACAACTCACACAGGTACGGAGACCCAATCACCAAACCTGAATCGCTTGACCGAGCGGCCCTGGAAACCTCCGTCAGGATCTTTTGCGCATTGTGCGTCGACCCTTCTCCGCAGAGTACAGCATCCAAACAAGCCTGGCAGCGTCATACTCAGTACCTGCTTCATGTACCGCCACAACCTCTTGCTCCCATGTTGCAGCCTTGTCTATGACAGCATTGAAGTTGGCGTCTGGCAACTCCATGGATCGGCCATCCATCTGTTTGTATGTCATTCCAGGCTTGTCGCGGTACTTTTCCTGCATTGCCTTGTGCAGTTTGCATGTCTTGCATGTTGGTGGCATATGTGAAGCAACTAATGGAGCTCAAAATGACCGCTGCTGGAAAGGAGGCTTCTAGTAGTAATAGCCAGGGCCCCGTCCTTGATGACTGCCATGGACATATCAATGTTCGTCACAGAGTGGTAGGCCTCCTTCCAAAATTGTCAAAACTCTTGGCTTACGAGATGCAGTGGCGCAGGCACAGCGGGTGCCAAGTCCTCATACATCTCTTCACTAAGCCGTGCGTTTCCACAGCCCAGCCTGGAAGCTGCGACAAAAAATTCTTCCAGCTGCTGACTGCAGGTCTCTGCCCTTATCTGCCGGTGAGCGGCATTAAGATGCTGTGGGCCTCAGCATGCAGCTAAATACAGTAGTCTGCGGCAGTGCTGATAGGGGCCCTGCAGGCTGCACAAACTCCGCAAAAGTGTCCTGGCCACTGCAGCTCGAAAGCAAAGGCCATCGCCCAACAAAGTCCAACTAGCCTTCAGCCCGGCCCAGCGCTGGTACCAGTCAAAAGGTTCCGGATCTCGTGTGTAGCGTTCCTGCAGAACAGGCACTCGCTCCAAGTGTTGCTGGTGCCTGGAAAGATGAAACAAGGACGCGTTGACATAGGTGTTTGGTGCCTCCCAGTACTCTGCCTTGCCATACTGTGCCTCAGCCCAGATTACACCAGGGTTAAGAGCGGCTTAGCTGCAATAATCATGACTGTGTCTGGTACCATCCAACTCGGCGATGACAACAACCTCAGGAAGTTGAACTGCTTGAGTCGACCGCCTTGTAGCACTTGCTGCTCTACATCATGTAGACTGTAGACTTGTCTTGCTTCTAGGTTGCCCGGAGAAGCCCCGCAACCTTGTTCCTACAAGGCCGCCTTGAACAACAAATGGCTGCACGAAGACCAGAACTAGCTTTAAGAATTTAAACGTACCAAGCAAAGGTTACAGCTGTTCATGCCAAAATGATTCCGCAACTCCGGCCGCCAAAACCACTGCATTTGCACCCCACTGCCTGGCTACGGCGGTGCAGGGACCACATCTGATCTCTCAGCCTCAAGCAACAAAAGCGAAGCAGCATATTTGCGGTCTGAAGGCTCTCAATCAGACGAGTCTTAAGCATTGTTCGAAACTCCATGGGTAGCAACCAAAGGGCTGGCCAAGCATGCCGCTCATCACCCCTTCTTTTTCCAGGTTTGCGACTCAAGGTGCTTGCAGAATGAAAGCACGCACGTGCGGATCCTACTGTCACAGGCGTTTAGCGAGTTTACTGTGAGACCATTGTTTCTGCATGAACAAACACCAGAACAGCTCCACGCTTGTGAGGAAGTTCTACTCTCTGCTTGACATCCCAAACTCCAAGATTTTCCATCCGCAGCTTAGCTGCGGATGTCAAAGTTACACCTAGCTGCAGAGCATAAGGAAATGGCAGGCAAGCATCTCTCCGGGATGTGCCTCGAGACGCAGAAAAAGTATTTGTGGCACAGGCCTTTCATCTCAAGCAATACCATGTGACGAGCAACAAGCACCACCCATGCAAAAACCATGGTCTCGCTCTTTCTGATCCGCTCCCTAACACTGGAGCAAAATTATCTTGGAGACTAGGGGAAGTTGACGAGGTGCTGCCAGCCGTGGTCGTTCCTGCTGTCGTCCCGGTTGTGGCCTCCGTTGTCGTCTCTGTTGTTGTCTCCGCTCCTGTCTCCGTTGCTGTCTCCGTCGTCGTCTCTGTTGTTGTCTCCGTTGTTGTTTCTGTTGTTGTTTGGGTTGTCGTCTCTGATGTAGTTGTTGCGCTGCTGCTGCTGTCACAAGCGGACACTGCACAATCTGCAGATTCTGTCAGTGAACTGCAGCCTCCTGTTCGAGAGCGTGACTTCGTTGCTGCTCCACAAGTGGCAGAACAGTCACCCCAAGATCCCCAGTCTTGACATGGAGGTGGGCAATCCTCCATGATGCAAATGTCTGTATCTTGGTAAGAGGAGCACGTGCCCGTTCTGGTGCGTGACACTGAACCCTGCCCGCAGGTTACCGAACAGTCACTCCAAGCCGACCAAACATTACAAGCTGGCGGTGCTGGTGACGGAGACGTACCCCAATTCCACGCAGCAGCCACGCTTGAAAGCAAGTGGCTAGGGGCCTCCATGACAATGACACCCAGCAGTCCAGCTAGAATGTGTCGTCCGCTACCATGGCGCACAGGCATGGCACTCACTACTCCGGCTCTGTCCGATCAGGCCTAGCTCCCAGCAAGCAACTTCAAGCACGCTGGTGGGATGAAGAAAGGCCCAACGCTGCGGACAACATCCACAAAACCTGAGAACACAATGCGCTGAGCAGCACCCTTCAGGCTTTCAATGAATTCTCAGTCCTCAGGGTTGCGAGGCCTCCGTGATGGTGGTCTCAATGACCTCTTGACCTGCAAGCCAAAAAGCAGTGACCAGCGCCCTCCAACGCTAGAATCACGTGCCTTCGATTTCTTCACCTGGTGGGTGGGTGACCTATGCATGGAGAGGGATGTTCCAGTCAGGAGTTTAAGGTTGCCGAGACTGCAGCCGTTAGATGTCTGCTCTCTGCAGCTGCATGTCCATGAGTGCAAAAACACAAGCAGGCATCCGTAAGTGCTAAATCGTGGTGTCGGCCAAGATGAACCAAGAGCTAGGCTCCATCCAAAGCATCCTCCCGCCAATCAGCTTTGAACACGCGACCATCAGCGTAGACCTCTGCTTCTGCAACGGCCCACATCATCTCGCAGGACCTTCCTCACGCAAGATGCTCTACGGCTATGGTCAGGACGAAGATGCCACGGCCATGTTTCTTTCCAGCCTATCACGTGGAGTGCATTTGTAGAAATGCGAGATCTTGGAAAGCCCCAAAGCCTCCATGCTCCCCACCTGAGATGCAAGAAGGACTGGGCTTGCAACTGACAGCAAATACAGCAACTATTGGACTAGCACCCAGAACCCTGCAGCTGCGTATTGCTGGGCCGTGGTGCTGTTGGGCATTCCTACTACGAGTGGGATGCTCTCTGCGATTGCGCTTCTGACACCTACCACTACCCGCTCAGAACATCTCTTGGAAAGCAATGATCATGTGAGCACTTCATCCATGCACCCCAAAAAGACTGGCCGTTGCTCCCAAGTTGTTGTAGAGCAAACCCATTTTGTGAAACGGGACCAATGAAAGGGAAGACAAGAACAGGACGAAAAAGCAGAATGACAAGCAGGGAAAGAAGGAAGGCGGCCAGCACAGAAAGAAAGGGAATTTGCACAATGTACATGTCGTGGCGAAGCGACCCTCGAACCAGACAACTGCAGACTGAAAATGAAACCAAATGATGGATCAGAAGATATATTTAAAAAAAACCTGGTCAAACCCATGGCTTTGCCACAGAGCAAGCTCCCCAACCGATGAGAGTTGCGGGTAGCCTGCTGCGGTGTCTGCAATATGGCGATACTGTGAAGGGAGGCTAGCAGAACAGGTGCGTTGACCCCAGACTGACCTCATGCACAGCAGCAACATGCGCCACGCGCGTTTGGAACAGTCTGGGGTGAGGTCTGCAGCTAGCAGGTCTCGTATCGCTGCGTCCAAATGCAGGAAAGCGGACCACATAATGGCCGGTGTTCGGGCGGCCAGAAACAAGCAAGCAAGCCAGACAGGAAAAAACAACAAATAGCAAAAGAAAGCAGACACCAGAAAGGACAAATGGATTATATGCTAGAAACAAACAAAGAGAGAAAGAAAGAATGAAACGACAAACGAAAGAAAGAAGCTACATGTTCTCATCCTTATCCACGTTTTGCAAATGCTGTGGTGCCCACTTCAACCCCATTGCTTTTTGATACAGCATGACGTGACAAGGCAATCCTGTCAAAACTGTGCAGGGAGCTATATGTGCTCATCTTCGTTCACGTTCCGCAAATGGGGGGAGGCTGCGCCCAGCGCCAACGACGGTATTAGTCTCCCTCATCCTTACTATTCTTACTGGTGTTGCTTCTTAGTGATCATGATTACGACTCTGGGCGGTCTTGTTGACATGACGATCATAAGCAGAGTGAGCAATAGTCATGTGAGCAGCGGGCGAAACTTCTTGTCTGGCCTATGGTCAAAGTCCCATACTCGTACTGAACATTTTGGGGGAGCCATCTCGTCCTACCAGGCTTGAGACATCTGGAAACCAAATAATTGAATCTGTCTATTTTGTTTCACGACACTTGGGCTTGAGTCTCGTTTCTCAACAAATCCGCCGACCTTGGGGGGCGTCTTGGATGATTTCAATAGACGGAGAGGGTGAAAATCCTCTTCTTTTCTCCCTTACAACCCAAAAATGCAGGGGGCGGGTGGCAAGGGTAGGGGGGGTATCCCGGCTGCGTTTCCTTGCGGTCCCACCTCCCAGACACCCGTCTCAGCCGACTCCCACCAGGCTCCCCGCAGGCCGTGTTATCACCATGGCTTGATCATGTCTACGTTGTGCGTGAAATCCTGGTTTGCCATGTCCGTGGCCTTTAGGGACACTTTCAAAGGTTCGCAATTGATGCGGTCCCATACGGCTATCTGAGGTCTCATTTTGATGGTGTTGTTGGTGGCCCTTCCCTGTCTTCAGAAATACATTGCTCGCTTTTTGGCAATGTACTCGTCCTTGTATCACTTGGCTAGCTGCAATCTCATCCAGGCTTGTTGGAAGGTGAGAAGAGACATTGGGGAAAGCTGATTCGGCCTAATACCATGAGAGATTTGACACATTTCTATGCGCAACCCAGCTTGCGGCTAACATCATGTAATGAACTCGGTTCGATGTTCTGCAGTGGCATCCGATGGCCATCCCACAAGGCACTGTTCACTGGCAGCTTTCTCTCTCTGCTCTTTGATTTGCGACTTTAATGCCCAAAGCTGCTGGACGCGGAAAACATACTGACCGTCCCTTGTCTCATCCAGTTTCTTCTGCATTTCACTTACGTGAATGCGCAAGCTTTTCATCTGCTCATCCAGCTGAACCGTTTGCTCATCAACCTCTACAGGAAGCAGCTCCGCGAAAGAAACTTTGTCTTCCCTGCGGTGTCTGATTGGCGTCTTTGTCTTAGTACCTGCTCTGATAGGTGTTGATGTTGATGGTAGCTTTGAGCTCCATTGTCTCCTACCCTTGGATCTTTTGGATTTTGGCCCCTCAGGATTTTGGAGCTCATTTTCCAGAGCTGTTCTGATCCTTGTACCCCCTGCGCTAGGCGCAGCAGCCATCCCACGGACCAATAGATCTGACCTTCTCCTCTAGCTTTACCCTGATACTTCAATGTTTTAGACCTTTGTCCCCTCTATTATCAGCCACTTAAGCTGCAGCATGGTCCTGATGAAGACAGAAAACGCAACCGGCACTAAACCTTTTTGCATTTGGGCCACCCTAAAACCCAAAGCCAAACCTAAACCCGCTGACCCTCTGAGGCATCCACATAGCGGTCTCCACCGGCCAGCATTCGAATTGCTATGCCAGGCTGTTGCCTTGCCACGAGTGCAAGTGCTAGGAATTCGCCCGGTTTCAAAGGTTGTAATTTCCCCTAATAGGGGGACCCCAATATAGACCCCAAAATACTACAACTATTATTCTTATTACAGGGACCCTAAGAAGGTACCCCGAATTTTGGGAAACCGCCAGGTAAACCTGGTTGAAACGGGGCCCCGACGATCCAGTGCGTTTCACCGCGGTCACCTTCAGCGATTGTCCAAGCCGTGCAGAAGTCAATAAGTTTGAGCCAAATCATGTCGCGAAGCTGAGAATGCCTGTGAAGCAAACATGACTATCCCACGACAGCCTCACTTTCTCCCGTGAGGACCTTAGGCGTGGCTCCACCCAAAGCAAGTGTGCTCCGGCACAAGACACCCCAACATAATCCCATATAATATAATAGTTTCCATTTTATTTTCCATTATCCCTATACACCCCCAGTATGATATATCCCTATA